TTTGTGTCGTTTTACTTTGTTTGTACCSTGCACMYTRRCRMCCTCAAAGAAAAAGTCCGAAGGGTGAAAATGAGAATAAAAARTGAAGAAGTGCAGGTGCGCTGAAAAATGAACGTGGTAGACTCTTCACCAAAACTGCAAAACTGTGAAAGAAAGAAGAATGCAGTAAAAGAAAGAAGATGTTTGTGTCACACTTATTTTATTTTTATTTTTTCTCCCTCTGCCTATCGATTTTCCTTTTCTGCTCCTCTCTCCCTTGTGTTTGACACCTCTCCCTTCACTCTGCCTCTTTCCCATAGCGTAGAAGTGGGCTGTTATGGCATACGGGGATGGGGGCAGCTCGCGCTCAACTTCATCAACGTGGCGAGCCTTGTACGTTAGAGTCACAGTGGAGGAGGCGTTAAGAAGACTGAGAAACTGAATGATTTCAATGTGTCTTTGTTTTTGATTTTATCCTTTGATTCAGTGTAAATATTTTTCGTAAAACACCGAAAGAAATAATAATACTGTGAAACAAAGTGTCATTCTGGTTTGTCTGTCTCTTGGCCTGTCTGTTCTTTCATTTTTCTTTTCTTTGCTCATCTTATTTCTTCTTCTACTTCACGTGCTCATGCTCTTAGTCAATAGTTCTGTGACAATATATATATTTATATATATTATCTGAAGCTGTCTTGTATAGTTATCTGCGCGCCTATGTATAGTAACTATGTATAGCTAGCTATCTGCACAACTTCGTCTTCACCTGAATAGAACGCCCGGTCACGATAGCTGCATCTGGACTGGGAGAAGCTCAACCCTAAATCGTTGGTGTTTAGTTGGGGGGGGCCAAAACAAGGGAACAGACGGAGAGCGCATTTTCCCTTCCCCCCCCCAAGGAGAGCGCATTTCAGAATGGGAACACTTTTTGTCCCAAGGGTTCCGAGGGCCCTTTTTTTTTCAGGGGTTGGGTCGAGAGGGCCCTTTTATTTATCTTTGTAAGGGTTGAAAGGGGCAAGAGGGTACTTTTTTCCTTAGGAGTCAAGAGGGCCCTTGGTAGTTCTTTTAGGGATCGAGAGGAGCCTTTCTTTTGTGCGTAGTAGAAAAAGAAGGGCGAGTCTTTTGGGACATGCGTTAAAATTGGAACGATACAGAGGAGATTAGCATGGCCCGTGGGCAAGGATATAACACGCATAAATCGAGAAACGGTCCAAAATAAAAAAAAAGAAAAAAAAACGAAAAAAAAAGAAAAAGGAGGGTGAACTTTGCCAAGGTTGTGCGGCATGTTTCCCCGATCTTTCGAGGACTCCCTCTGAGCAAGCAGCCCACACGAATCAGCCCCCAAGGCCCCCCTCCCCCCTCCCGCCTTGGATATGTGAATCGGATCGCTGTGTCTGGTGAATGCCCCTAGCGTAAAGGGCGGGACTCCATGGGAGCCAACTGAGCTGACCATGACCATCCACCCAAGAGGCCGGTGGCATGGCAGCAAATTCGCAGCCCTTAGGCTGCTTCATAGTGGGCTTCGGCGTCTGTGTCAAGGTGTCGCATTTTTGGCGGCGGGCGACCAGGACGCAAAGTGGGTTCTTATGGGGCAAAAAATTTTTGGGGACCGGTCCTTGCCAATATTGCGGACTACCTACAGCTAGCTCTGGTAGAACCGGGACTTTTGGAAAAACGAAGGACCGGTCCTCGAGTAGAAGTGGACCCCAAAAAGAAGTGGGGGGCGTTGGACCGGTCCTCCGGTAGAAGCGGACCCTAAAAAGAAGTGAGATTGGACTGGTCCTCGGGTAAAAGCGGACCCCAAAAAGAAGTGAGGGCATGTGAACTGCAAAAGGGCCCTCAGGCCCAGGCGTTGAGCCCCGTCTTCTCAAAACAGGGAGGTCAGGCACAACGAAACACGCGTTTTGCAAGAGGCAACTTTGGCGATTTTCTGTGTTCAGACAAACATGCACAAAAATCTGAAATTTTGAGAGCCATGCTTGGGCCAACTAAAAAAGTACTCCAAATTCAGTGAGTTTTTGCGCTCAGAAGAATGCGTGAAAAAACCTGAAAATTGGAGTACTCGTAGATTTTGTTTTGATCTTTCCAGGAGAAGCGCTAAATTTTTAAAAATCATTCCAACTGCAGTCTACTGGGTTAGGCGTCTGTGTCAAGGTGTTGCATTTTTGGCGGCGGGCGACCAGGACCCAAAGTGGGTTCTTAGGGGGCAAAAAAAATTGGGAAACCGGTCCTTGCCAAAATTGCGGACTACCTACAGCTAGCTCGGGTAGAACCGGGACTTTTAGAAAAACGAAGGACCGGTCCTCGGGTGGAATTGGACCCCAAAAAGAAGTGGGGATGGGGTAAGGGCCCTCAGGCCCAGGCGTTGAGGCCCGTCTTCTCAAAACAGGGACGTCAGGTGCAACGAAACAGGCGTTTTGCAAGAGGCACCTTTGGCGATTTTCTGTGCTCGGAGGAACCCGCAGAAAAATCTGAAATTTTGAGAATCCATATATGAGGTCGTGTTCTTTCTAGGGAAAATATTAGAACATTTTTAAAAAATCATTTAGACCGAGAAATAATTGTCGCGCCGATTCGGCACATTTTCCATTTTTGCCACTCAACCATGTGTGGGCCAACTTAAAAAGTACTCCAAATTCAGTGAGTTTTCACTCTCAGAAGAATGTGTGAAAATACCTGAAATTGGAGTACTCATAGATTTTGTTGTGATCTTTCCAGGAAAACGCTAAATAAAATTTTAAAAATCATTCCAACTGTGAAAAAGATCGCGGCCGCAATTTGCCATTCAGCCTCTCTCTCTCTCTCTCTCTCTCTCTCTCTCTCTCTCTCTCTCTCTCTCTCTCTCTCTCTCTCTCTCTCTCT